TCTGTGCCGTGGCAGAAGCGATTGACAAAAGAGAGAGAGAGAGCGAGAGAGAGAGAGAGAGAGAGAGAGAGAGAGAAAGGAAGAAAGAAGAGCTATCTTTTTTTTCTCTTGTTGTCCTTGTCATACTTTTTCTCATGAGATGCTTGCGAAAAGTCAATAATGCCTTTATTTTTATCACGCCCTCACAACCCGGATTAATAAATCATATCTCATACTTTTCCCCTCGAGATTCTTGTCTCTATCTTACGATCCTTCGAGGAACTTGCATTTTATTAACTTCTATCTCCTGTTCGTGCGGCCCGCTGCTTCTGAATTTTCAGTAGCAAGCACGTTGGTAAAACGACGTAATTCATTAAATTAAACGCAGAACTACTCGCCGGATAATGGATATTATGCAGCGGTGAGCACCGTATTCCACGCGTTTCTTTCACCGCTCTTCTCCTCCCGGAAACCTCTATCTACACTTCCGTCCGCTTGTTGGGCAAAGTTAATTAATGAGCGAAAAGTGTCTCCGCGAGAACAGCCGGTGCTAGCCAGAAATATCCTGGTCGAATCCGATGACACTACTTCGAGAGACAATCCGCAATTAGGACAATAATTATAAACACCAGGTAGAACACCGAGAAATTAGAACGTTTTAATCGAGAAACTCGATGAGAAACGATACAGTGAAAATATCTCAATAGTTTGCGGGGTGCCAGTATTATATTTTTGCGTCCGACGTAAACCGTTTGTCGGAAACCGCAATGAATTCCAACGAAATTTATTCTGTACGGTACTTGCAGAATAAGAGATATTAAAAAAATTCTTTCTTATTTAAAAATCCTTCCTACTTTCGTTCTCCCTTTGTGTTGCGATAATTAATATATACCATAAAAGAAGCCAAACATCGGGGACATTCTATTAGGAGAAATATCTACAAGAATACATTATAAATTAATTAAACAAGGACAATAATCGATAATGCTCAGATAATAAACACGCGAATCCTCTTTGGAAGAGAGGAGACCATTGAAAAAAGAAAAAAAAATCTCCACAAATGGACAACGATTTTCAATAATATAACGCTTGCGAGAACACGAGCGTGAAGTATCGATAATGTGTCGCATTTATAATCTATTCAGTGACCGGAAAATTAGTCGAACGGAAACTAATTAAAGATAGTTATCGGCGTGCGCGTTGTGCAATGAGTGTATATCGTATGCGAGATTTGTTAATCGAGAATTAATCTCGATTGGATATAGGAGAGTGCGGGCAGCGGGTAGATAAGGGAAACCGTTGGTGCCACCGTTCGGTGTGTTAAACTCGAACAGAGTTAATCCGGATTAAACTCTGGTAGCCCCTCTACTATCAGTAAAACTAGAAAAGATAAACACATATTCTGTGATATCTTTGGTCAGGGGCGTCTCAGAATGTCGTATGCTTCATACGCGGATTAGAAAGTTACCGTAAAATAATAGAACTAACAAGTGTAAGTGTAAGTTGTAAATGTATACCCGATAAAACTTCGTTTGTTTGTCGAAGTTCGTTCAGCAAGTTTCGTTCAACACTCGATAAACAGCAACGGTATAACTTTCAATAGCGTCATTATAGATAACTTTCAGAAACTTCCCACGGTATTTAAAAAAAATACAGATTTCCTCTTTCAAATATTCTTCGTAAGAATTATTAAAACGCACGCAATATGTATATTACAATTAAATATAAATAATATCTATATCCCCTTCAAAAGTAAAACATTAAGTTTTCCAGAAAAGAGGAAATTTCCACTTGAAAATTTTTGATGAAATAATCGGCAAAAAGAATTAATTCTTAATACGAATAAATGTTGTGCTTGTCATTTTCACAACCCTTAAAAAAACCTTTTTTACTTGTCATAATTTTGATGACTTCTTTAAAACCATTTTTTTAAGAGTTGTGACGATTTTTACGATCGTTTATGTTAATGAAGTTAAATTAGTTCACTTTTGATAACTGATAAGATAATGTTTACTCATTCACATGGTACAATTAAAAAACCATATTTTTTAGTCGTGTAACTTTTGAGGTAAGGCAGCAATATGTTCAACGTAAAAAAAATATTATAGAGTTAAAAAATATTATTACTTTTGTCAAATTTTTGTTTACCTATATTGTTATTGTCTTTTCTTTCTGTTAGATGTAATAACCCATCGATTTGACAACTTTAAGACCATGCTGTTACTTTTCTTTCGCGAACAATTATAGGATCGTATCTTTCTTCCTTCGTAAATATCCGTAGCTAAGTTACATGTCCGGTTCGGTGAAAGACAGGGGGTTTACAAGTAGCAAACAATACTGATCGTGCAAACGCTACACATTCGACGGTGAAACTCGATCTGTCTTGGTTCGATTCTGGACCATGAGAGGTCCATTACCGTCGAAAAGACAAAGAGATTGAGAGAAGACAAACAGTAGAGGAGATCAAGCGTCTCAAATTGTTGCCGACACTTTCTCAATATCGATGCAAGTGCACGCGGCCTTTTATAGAGATCAAGCGTGCTTTTTGCCCCTGTAATTAAACGCCAAAAATGACAAAGGCGAAAGCACTTCCCCGAAAGATGATTTGTTCACAGAACGACATAATGTACACATGAACATTTGCTTAGTAGACTGGACGTTTCCATCATAGACTATGTGGTGAGTTTTACGAGATTTGTCAGTAGTTTACACGGAGAATTATTGACAAGTGATCTTAATAAATTAAACAGTATATTTCAAATTGTTTCCTGATTTGCTTAACAATCTTTAATCAGTATCGAGATTTTTTTTACGCAATACAAATCACGATCACATTGCACTTTCCTTGCGAAAAGGTAAACATTCTTCCTGGTTCGAAAAAGGAAGATGTAGAAAGATGATACCTACTTACCTTTAAGAGCCGCTGCGACAGCACGTGATCTTCCAACTACCTCTGCGAGCTGTGTTTTGTATTTTATAGAGTCGGCATCGGCTTGTTCGCAGACCGCGCGTTGCAGCATCCTTTGCGTTTCCAGCTCTTTGGTCAAAAGTGCTTCTCGAAGATGATCGGCATGTATTTCCGACAGCAATTTCAACTGGCGCCGCATTTCTTCGACAAACTTCTTCTGCTCCGACAGCGACTGAAACAAAAAAAAAATGGATATTTAACAGAAGCTTGAATATGCTATGAACAACATGTGTACTTCGTTTATTTTATGATTTTTTAAAATACTATATAAATAATTAACACTAGGATCGCGGGTCTAAATTAAATTAATCCAATCGCGGTTCAAGATAAATCTGGCTTTTTATGAGAGAGGGTTGTCACCATAAAAGTAAAATTACTTGTAATTAATTATAATTATTCACAAAAATCTAAAGCTCTACGTGCAAATTCAAATTAATTTTGAAGAAAAAATTATCAAATGGGTAAAAAATGGTACAGCCGCGATATTAAAGTAAAGAGAGAAGTATAGTTTTATATAACAGAAATAATAAAATATATTTTTTTCTAATGTAAAAATGCCATTTTCTTTTTTCAATATTTTTTCCTCGTCTCCCCTAATATTAATATCTATATTTTAACATAAATTTTTTATATTCTGTTAAATATAAATGTGTCGCAAACTTATAACGTTGCATTCCTCAGTCCTTCCCAATCTCTTATCCACAGGATAAGAGAAAATGAACGTCACGTGAGAGATAAGCCAAAGTTTCAGGAAACTAGATAAGACGTTGCATGCCAGTGCTTTAAAGTCTAGAACAAACAGTGTCTCTCGACAGTTCGGCGACGTTGTTGTAAGGTACAGAAAGACGAGAATGTCAGTGTCCCGATTCTCGAGGAAAGATAAAAAAAAATAAATAAATTTTCGAGATCTGCGTCACTTGATATTCTTTACTTGAAAATAGATTGAAGATGTACTAAGAAATACAGTAAGCTAAAAAAATTCCTAATTAAAAGGGACAGAATTTAACAAAGACTTGCTCGTCATCTTTCCTTCGTAACCGCTGAGAATGTCCTTTCTATATAAAAAAATCAGAATCTCTGAGAAGTTCATGTCTCCTGCAATCACGCGCAATCACCACCTTCGGCGTGATAATACCATTCAAGATACAGGTCCTAAGGCATTAGCCTAATGAGACTTTGATGAATTATCCGCACTTAAGGCATCACCGGGGCCGCCCTCATTGAGCAGCGACCCAAGCCTCGAAAGTCTGGTACGTCCTCTATCTTCTCTCCACCGACGTCGATCTCGACCAACTTAGGTTCACCCTCTTACTCCCTGACCAACGTCGTGTTTTGTGTATGGCCAACGTCTACAGATTCATGTTTCTGGAACGGTCCGCGGACATGCACTGGTCCGCCATTGCCTGGAACACTGTGTACCGAGAGCCCGTGTCAATAATTAACGCCCGGCTGACCCGACAACTTCGTCGACCCGTTTGAGTCAAGGGTGCAAGAGGGATCGTTATCGATACCACGAGACGCGAACCTTCCCGATCGTCCATCATGTTACATCTTAGGTTCCACGATTTACTGGATTGGCGAAAGGTGAAATTCTTGAGATAGTCAATATCAGTAATGCTGATAATTCAGGAAGAAATGCGGTTGTCTTTACACGACGCAAAATGCGGTGGAATCGAGGATAAATGAAAATGAATCGCAATCTTAAAGACGGTCTCATCTTTCGTCGTTACTGTGACAAATTGAATATTAAAAAAAGATACCGTACTTATTCCTTGTAACGATGAATTTTAATTTTTTATAAAAGTGAAAAATTATATAACCTTTTCTAATATTTTAATTACAGAATATCTTATAAGCTACCACATAAATTAGCTAAAATTAATCGACATAAAATTGACATTTTACACGTAATAAAAAATGACAAAAAAATAACGGAAGACAAAGCTTTTCCATCCGATTGAGCTAAGCTGGCTCCAGCGCAACGTTCTATAATCTGTTTCGGCAAATCCAAAATACTTCACTAACACCGGTCGCATGCCGCAATTGCGCCAAGCCGGATTAATTAAATACGGTAGAGGAAAAACGCGAGCCGTTTATATTCACGCGAAGTCACGCGAAAATTGTTCCGCTTGCAACAAACACTGCGACAGACGTTTCTGCTCTGTATCGTCAATTATGGGATTATAATATTTATTTTGTCGTAATTATTATTTTATTAATTATTCCGATCATTTTTCTCTCTATTTTTAAATAAAAAATCGTTATTAATACATGCATTATTTAATCAAGTGTCTGTATATAAAATAAAATAATATTTAATGATATTCACATATTTCTCTTATGATTTAATTGCAAAAAGAGACTTTCATTAGTAGTTAAGAATGTACGTATCAGATGAAAATAATACCAAAAATATATAAAAATTTAATAGATTATTCTATTATTACGTCTAAATATATCTGTGTAAAATTTGAGCACAATTCCCTTATCAATTTAAAAGTTTTCTTTTCTTTCTCTTGATTCTTATCTCGCATTTTGTAATATTTATTTGCAAATAAGAAAGTTATCAAGAATTAAATCAAATTTTATACATCTACTGATCAAACAATAATAAATATTCGTGCTAAAGTTTATTTAGATCCACACAGGCGAAGTTGTTCCACTTTTCGATAAACTTCCACTCACTCTCTAACTCTCTTACTCTCTTATTCTTTTATTCTTTTGTTTATCTATTAGGTAAATTACCATCATAGTTCATGCAAAGATGGAACAATTGACTCGTTTAAAAGTTATTGACTTGCAGAAAAATATAATTTTACTGTAAAATTATTATAAACTATTTGTTATTTTATTTTTTGCATTATTTTTAATTTTAAGGTGTATTTGCGAGCTAATATCATCAAACTTTTTTAATTGATATTGGCTGATTATTTGACTGATACTTTTAATTAATATTGCACAGCCAGATCCTTAAGTAATACAGTTATTTATTGTGTCTCTCTGTGAATAATGTTTATCTTTCTCTTTTTCCCTCGCTCTCGAATGCTGACATTAACGAATTCCACTCGGTTCTCGCGTTTATATCTCACGAAGATTCGAACGAACGAAATCGCAGCAGTTTTTCCTTACGTGTAACTAATTTAATGACGACGATTTGTATAGCAATCTACGTAAGCATCGAGCGACGGATGCGGCGACGAGATCCTCCTCGAAAGAAAGGAAAACTGATTTGGGGCTATTAACTCGCGCGAGTCGCGTCTTGCCGATTTGGTCGACCAATCGAAACTTTGCCGATGGAAAAACTCGAAGCTCTTTCTAGATACCATAGACAGAAATCCGCGCGATTCGCGTCCGCGATGATCGGCGGAAAAACCAGCAATGCTCTTCTATTCATGTCGATTAAACGAAATCGAGGTTGATTTTCTCTTCTTCGTATTTAAAAGTAAAATGGCTGTATATAAAAGACTTTTAGAAGTTACGCGTATCGTAAATCTCAATATAACTTTGGTGAAGTGAAAGAATTTTATTCGCGTCTCTTTTTAAGATCTATAAAAATTCTCTGAACCGGAGAACAGTTCATTCTCATCACACATATCTTCCATATCTTCGTTTTGCGTTGATAACAAATAATATGTATGAGAAAAGACTCGCGCATATTCCCGAGTTACAAAATAGATTAGACTTTACGACAATGATTCTGACACGCCAATAAAAATATTCTTCCCGTTTTGCGATGTGAGTTAGTCTCTCCATTCAACTTCTGTTCAAATAAAATGTCAAATGTCAACTAGCAATTTTGAAAGTGCGATAGTTCTCCAATCAATAATTTCTTATCGGAAATGAAAGGCTTTTCATTAAACTTTGGTGACATGCAATTAAACGAGAAAAAATAATCTTATTGTCCATGTCTAATCGAACTTTTACTTTTTCACCAGAATTTCAATTCGTGATTTGATTATCATAATTTTAACATTAAATTGAAAATTTCCAATAGATGAAATCTTACCGCAACATCTTCCTTAAGTAAAAAATTCTCGAAGTATTCGTCGTTGAAGTAAAGAACGAACTTCTCTAGATACTCCATATTATTCAATTAAAGGCTCAATGAAAATTCAGAACACCGACGATGCCGTCTTTAAATTATTCTAGAATCTTGATGCAAAATAAGAGAGCTATCTACGATTCATGGGAAGAGGTGGCAGAAAAAGGGAATCAATCTTTGAATCGAGAGGGAAAACATTTGCGGATGGTACTATGCGATCGGTGCAGCACGTACGATCACATTGGCGTTAACTTGAGAATTTCTCGATTTGCAAGACGCCCACGGGAAAGAACGCTCAAATGTCCGTTTTTTTTGCACGGCTGGTTAGTCGTCCAATACACGTCGTGTAATATTTTTCCTATCGGCAGGCACTTCCGTCGTAAAAGCGGATATACGATCAGTACCACGTCGTTGCACGTGCGCTAAAGATCGTTTCTGGAGAACAAGTGCATCACTTTGCACCCGAAGAGTGCAGCCAAATGACTCTCGAAACTATAAAACTCGTATGCTCATTAAAGACAGAAAAAGAATTCAAATTGAAATTAAAGGAAGCAATTAAATTAAAGGAAGTAATGCTAGAGACTTTTCTGTAACTTGTGAATATCTATCAGTATATTCATTTTCAGAATTAAAATATAAACTCTATGCGAAAAGAAGCATGAGATTTTCGCAGATTTCCATTTGTTATTGTGGAATTTATGAACTTCAAACATTTCTGTTAATCATCCATGCAATCTCTCTTTTGTCTACAGTATAAGTTTTTTTACTGTTTTAAAGAGGTTCTCTCTTACGCTACTTCCTAGTAAATAAACAGTTTATTCATAATAATACATAATACAATTAAAATAATGGAATAAAAAGATTATTAACAGTATCTTATGCCATTATACATAATTATTGTTAATTTTATATGTTATTAAATATTTTCAAAATGATAAAATAAAAGTTGTAAGATGCTCATTTGATGTATACGCATCGTTCATTTGACATATATTCTAGCTTTTTTCATTGAAGAATATAAATTTCTTGTAAACTATACAGTCAGTTTAAGTGAAACTACGAGAACAAACTTAAGCGTTTACTTTATAATTATAACAATTTTTTAATTGCTGTCTTATATGCAAATGTCTCAATTTAAAAGAGAATAAAATTATACTTTCAACTTGTCATATAAAATTCTATAAATTTAGAATTAAATAGTACGATAAAAGTTAATGAAATTTTTTCTATTATTGATATTATAAACATTTGTATTACATGTATTATAGACTTGTCTTATATTTCATCAAACGCGAGAACCTCCTTAAATTTTCATAAAATGTGAAAAAATTGAGAGTTCTCTTTCAACATTTCTACTACATTATAAAATAATTTTTTAATTTAAATGTTAAAACCTTTATTTACCTAATAAAAAATAAAATTTAAGCAGAAATAAAAAAATGGAAATTTAAAAACATATAATAATAAAGAAAAATGTCTTCTTTTATTTCAGAGAAATTTGAGAGTAAAATTTCGCTTGTACTAGAAAAGATTCAGATTGCAATCGGAAAGTCGTGAATTTTAATCGCACGATGGTTGTTGTTCGCGTAAGAACGCTAAAATTATTGGTGATACTTTGGCAAATATTGCACGGCGATGCGAAATCTATGTTAGAAAATAGTACGAGATTCATGGGTCGCATTTTGTTTCTAGGCGATGGTAAGGTAAGCTTTGCACGCGGACGGGATAAAACAAATCGCGACAAAAAGTTTCATCGATAATTCACGTCCGTCGTGGTAAATAACTTCCAGGTGTACCGCCATAAAGATATCTTGTGACCGGGCCACAGACTGAAATCCCAAACGGCGAAGGCAGATAAGAAACTATGAATTTTTCAAGCTCCCTACAATCTTGAGACGTATCCCTATTTTGGCTCTACGGAAAATTTTATTTCCTCGTTGCAAATATACGAAATAATTGATAATCGGCGGCAATTTCAATTAATTTATTTTATATTCATTCAGTATAGATACACTCTAAGTCAAAAATTTAAAAACATTTTTTTTTAATTGATATTTTTAGGATTGCTTATTTATATATATTTATTAAAATATCTATACATATAAAAAATCTGTTTTTTTTTTAGTTTTTTAGATCTAATAATTGTTATTAAATCTGAAGACTCTTATTGTAAAAGAAATACACTGTCATGGAAAAAAATACATTTAAGTAACTATAACAAAGTGTGTTTACACATATATACAAACATACATACACTTAAGACCAAAAAAGTTTAGAAAATACTTATAACAATATGTTTTTTAATAATAATTCTGCAGATTCAACAGTTATGAAAGTTAAATTTATTAAATATAGAATTTACAGAAATGGATCTATGGCAAAATGTTGTGTATTAACGTGTGTGTGTGTCTACAATATATAAAATAGAACAAGTATATATTTATATATTTCTAGAAAATAAAATTTAAAAGACAATTTTTACTTGTGAATTGTTTCAATTATGTTTGATGATGCGTGTATATAAATGGATATTTTAATGAAAGTATACTTTCCAAAAAAACCGATAACTTTCTGATTGTATGATGATGAACTACCCATTTCCACTTAGAATGTTTTTCTAACGCTAACATAGCTATCAAAACACCCAAATGTATAAATGAAAGAAAAACTAACTATCTAACTCATTCGAAAATGTTGACCTGTGCCCTTTCTGATATCGGTTTCATTTGACTGATGATTTGCAGTGTGCTGTCTGCTTTTATGACGTTAGAAGGAAAACATTCAGAGACGTTCACGTTGACGAAGTCGGCGAATTGTTTTTCCAAGGCGAAACTACGTTAATTAAATGATGCGAGAGAGAGGATTCCTCTTTACGCGACAAAATGCAGCGCAAATGCAAAGTTCGTGACGACAATGACATACTTTCATTGCATTTGTCTCGACAGTACGCATCGATTGTAGCGAAACGAATGATCATTTGTTAACGGTAAGTTATGAATAAATTATGCAATGATTACCATTTAATTAATTCCGTTATATTTCTCATATATATATATATATATATTT